AAATTTGATTAGTGTTTCATGTTTGGACAAAGATCATTATGAATGTTTTTTTGGACATGGCAAGTGTGCCATATGGTTTAATAATGCTTATGTGGGTGATGCTTTACTTCACAATGAGCTTTATTTATTATCACTGTGTGAAAAAGTGTATTCCGTGTGTAATGTGAATGAGCATGTTTCTGCGTCGGGTAAAGAACAAAAGAAAAGAAAGAGAACTCATGACTAATCGAAATTATGGCACTGTCGCTTGGGCCATATTTCGAGGGGGAGAATAAAAATACTAGTTAAAAATGAAATTCTTCCTCCATTAGAGTTCTCAGACATAGAGCAATGCATAGATCGCAGTAAAGGAAAGTATGTAAAACAAATCAAAAAAGAGTGCAAACTGTAGCACAGGAACACTAGAAATCATTCACACTTACATTTGTGGACCATTTCCTGTGAAAAGTGTGGATGGCTACGACTCATTCATAACATCCACAGATGATTACTCCCGATATGGTTATATTTATCCAATCAAAGAAAGATCTGAAGCGTTGGATAAATTTAAGATATTCAAATATGTAGTTGAAAATCAGCATGATAAAAGAATAAAGATAGTAAGATCTGACCACGGGGGGAGTACTACGGTTGGCACACTCCATATGGCCAAGTCCTAGAGCTTTTGCAAAGTTCCTACAGGAGACTGACATAGTGGCCCAGTATTCAATGCCAGGAGAGCCTCAGCAAAATAGAGTAGCTGAAAGGCATAATCGTACACTTATGGATATGGTGCCCAGTATGATGAGTTATTCCACCTTGTCATTGGGATTATGGATGGAGGCGCTTAAAACCGTCATTCACATTCTCAATGGAGTACCAGGCAAGTCGGTGCCCAAAACACTGTATGAGTTATGGACAGGAAGAGTACCCTCTCTACAGCACTTGAGAGTCTGGGGGAGCCCGGCTAAGGCAAAAGTGTTTAATCCAAATATTGCAAAGTTAGATCCCAAAACAGGCAGTTGCCACTTCATTGGCTATCCTGATAGATCAAAAGGTTTTCGTTTCTACTGTCTAGAGAGATACACAAAGTTTGTAGAAACAAGACATGCAGTTTTCTTGGGGGACGAAATGATGAGGGGAGCATATGGTAGCTCGGAAAATTGATCTTGAGGAGAAGAGGGTGCATGCACCTAATCCGATGATTCAGGAGACATTTTTCTCACTACCTGTTGTACCTGCACCGGCAATCCCTGAGGTTGCGGTGCAAGCACCTGTTGTAACTCTAACCATGATAACTATGGGGGAAGATCCGGAACTTGTTCGTCAGGAGCCGACTGAACGTGTTGTTGAGCATGAAGGGAAGGTGCAGCAGCCACTTTTAAAAGATGTGACGGAAGGTGAAGCATAGAATGAGCCTAGGGGTGAGGCCCTTGGAAGGTCTACAAGATCCAAAAAGTCAGCTATTTCTACTGATTATAAAGTATATAACACAGAAAATGTTCGTATGAAAGGTGATCCCACTTCATATGAAGAAGCCATGAGAAGCCCTCACTCATCAAAGTGGCTGGAGGCAATGAAAGACGAGATGAAATCGATGAGTTCCAAAGATGTTTGAGATTATTCTTAAAGAAGCCAAAACAGTAGGCTGTAAATGGGTTTACAAAACTAAATATGACTCTAAAGGAATGTAGAAAAGTATAAAACACAACTTGTGGTAAAAGGATTTACACAAAAAAATAGATTACAATGAGACATTTTTTTAGTCTCATGTAAGGATTTCTTCAGAATCATAATGGCATTAGTTTAAATTTTGGCATTTCGGGGAATGGAGGACTGCCTTTGGAGATGCCGAGAGTCCATTTTAAGCTGAGGAAATGGGATCATCCCATTTTGATCATCACAAGATATGCTGTCGGAGCATGATCTAGGCTTGGGCGCCCTCGGGCTTTGGACATCCAGAGAGCAACAAACAAGCTAGTAAGACGGCTGTTTTGTCCGGATAAACGTGAGGAAAACAAAAGGGCAATACTACTAGTCCTACTACCAACACCAAGTTCCATGCAGTTGGAGAGGAGCTGCTCGGTCTTTTCCCACAAAAGAACAATATTATTCTCTCCCCATCCCCTCACTCTTTACTTTACTCCTCACGACCAGCTTTACTTCCCGCAGCGGCGGCAGCCCCGAGAAGGCGGAGAGAGAGAGAACAAAAGGCATCGAGCGAAAGCAGCCAAAGCGCAAGGCGGGCAAAGGCGAGGCGCGGCTTTGCTCTCAGCTTCAGCTCAAGCTCTGCTCAGGCGACGCCGACCGACGCAAGAGAGAGAGAGAGAGGGCGGGATGGATGGAAGCTTATGATTGCCTGGACCTCGGTCTCTTCCGCTTGTTCCCTGGCTTGGACCAGAGCACCAGGCCTGGCCTTTTCCACTTCTCCCCGGCGAGCTGAGCTCTCCTTCTTCTTGGTTCCTCCCCCGGTCAGTCAGTCGGTCGTACCGCTGCCCTGCTCTTGGCGCCTTGCCGTTGGCGTTCTTGGGCTCCGGCCATTGTTCTGGTCAGTTCCTCGGGGTTCTCGCTTCTTGGAGTCCGGGCATTGGCGTCGGCGGGTGAGGGTTGAAGGAATCACTCACTCCGTCGTCAATGGAGGGGGAGGAGGGGTCGGGTGCCTCGTGTTCCGCTTCCGCCGCGGCGGCGGCGGCGGCCGAGCAGCAGGTGCGGGTGGTGCGGTGCCCCAAGTGCGAGAAGTTCTTGCCGGAGCTGCCCAACTACTCCGTCTACGTCTGCGGCGGATGCGGCACCACTCTCCAAGGTCGCTCTTCTTTCGCCCCCTCTCTCACTCTCTGTTTATGTTACCTCCATGCCCTGCATTGTGTTTTGTTTCTTCTGTTATAGTAGTATATTTCTGCCGCATCAGTTTCTCTGTTTGGATTAATTCGTTCAACTCTAGTTCCTACTTTTTGTTTGCTCAACTCTAGATAAGTCCAAGTAAAAAAACTCTAGATAGATTATTGATTGATTTCCAGTTTATAAAGATCCCATATCTGCAGGGCAAGTTTTTCGCAGATTTTTCAAGTTTTTGTTTTGCACATTGCAAAATATTTTCTTTTCTCTTCCTTGTTTCCCCTTGCTCCAATTAGTGTTTTCTCTGAACTTATCTCATTTTTCCTGAAATGTGCGAAACCTCTGATTCTTAACCTGTCTCAGAAGCTTGTCTTTAAAATCTTAACCAATCATCTGAAGCTTCAGAACTTGTGGGAAGTGCGGTGACATTTTCTTGTTTCCACTGTAGAATATTTGGTTCAGAAGTTTTGTCTGGTCTGAAAATTTCCAGATCGTAGGAGCAGAAACTTCTCATTTTGTTTGACTCAGTCTTGAATGAAACCGAACGAGTGGAACAGAATCGGACACTAAACTCTGCCACTTAAATTCCGATCACACTTTTATATGTTGGTTGTTAGGCGCGCAAACAATTTAGCCCAAACGCAGTGCTGTTATGAGAAAAACTGTGTTGCACGTTGTATTGAGGACTGCCATTGACAAAAATTTACACCTATGAAATCTTCCATTTCTCGATTACTTATGCTAAATTTTATGTCTAATTCGTGACAGGGAAGTATAGAATTAACATATTTCTTTCTCCGTGCAATTTTACAGCAAAAAAGCACTCAGCACCCGAGACTACTTGTTTGGACAAAACTGACGTTGTACATGTGAAGTACCTTGAAGTGCTGGAGAGTTCGCCAGAGAAGAAGGAACCAGTATCTGAAGCTAATTTTGAAACTATCTCAGAAGAAAACTCTCAGAGAGTCCAAGCTACTCCCGAAGAGAGATTAGTAACCCAAAGAATGATGCCAGAACACAGAGATTCCAGATGTAGTTCTGGTGATGACCAAATCCCAAGAGAGCCAAGCAGCTTGATGTTTGAGGCCACGCTTAGAGATGACGGCACGGAGACGGAGATTCGGGAAGCCAAGTACCGGCGCATACGGAATGAGGAGAAAGGAGAAGTAAAGCAGCCAGTGAGACCAAGTGACAGATCTCGTATCTCTGTAGTCGACACCATTCCTCCTAATGCTTATCTTGGTGAACACCAGATGAAGTCAAGCTTTGGAGATGCAAATGGTAGTCAGCGCGCAGACGGGAGGAATATGGACGGTCCTAGCAGTGTTAGTGGGCTTGAGAAAGACCGCGCCGAGCTTTTACGGATGCTTGATGAGCTGAGGGATCAGGTGCAGAGATCCTGCGAAATCACTGAGAAGCCCAGTGTAGGCGCCTCCACAAGTAGAGTGGCGGATGCCTCGAGCTCATACAGTCCTCATGAACTGCTGAGTCGGTTGCGGCACGGCTCGCCTCAGTTACAGCGGAACGGTTCTCAGTGCTCACCATCCTTGAGTGGGCAAAATCCTGGCGTTCCGCATACTTATGCTTCAGTCCCCACACATCAAGATCTACATGGATATAGAGAGCCTGCCACACACATGGGGGCTCCTTGCTATCCTGTTGGTCAGTATCCATGGAGGAATTGTGACAGTTATTTCTTCGGACAGCATAATCATGACCCTCTCGTCTCTTACCACCATGGCGGTTTCTACCACCAGCCTGCTTGCTCTTGCCTGCATTGTCATCACCGTGAGTTCTTGCCTGTTCAGGGGGCTCCGGTGGGTTTCAATCATCACAGGGTGCCATATCCTGGGGCGTACCCAGTTAACGGTTCTGTGATGTTTGGCATGCAAAATAACAATTCGAGAGGCATCAATGCTTCGATTCACCGCGGTCACATGAGGGGCAACCTGAGCAAGAAGCCTCCGCAAACATGTGAACCGATTGCCTGCGGAGCCCCATTTACCATATGCTACAACTGTTATGAAGTGCTGCAACTTCCCAAGAAGTGCCCCTTGCCGGGGAAGGATGAGTACAAGCTACGTTGTGGGTCATGCTCTCATGTGATCGTGGTCAAGCTTGATGGAAGCAGGCTTGATGTTTCAGCGCCTTCGCCAATTTCGCACATGTCTGCTGCTAGTAGAAATAACTCCAGTGATGTCCAAGGAAGCAATGCATACTCTGCTACTGATGAGAGACTGCTTCCGCTTTACAGCTTTTCTGCAGGGAGTCATTGCTCTCGAGAAAGAGATCTGCAATCAAACTCAAGTGACACAGAAAAGGTGCAGGGTATATCATCGTCTTCTAGCATTTTTGAAGATGAGAATAATCCTGCGAGATCTAATTCACAGAGGGGCACCCCTAGGTCTAGTGATCTGCCCGTTGAAGCCCAAGTTGTTAGCCGTGTTCCGAGTTTACCTCTTCATCATCATTTTGCACATTCACCATCTGAGAGGGTGGTTAATGGATCAGGAAAAGGAAGCAGAAGTACCCGGTCTGAGCATGAGAAGACAGTATTGACTGAAACTTGTAGACACAACACTGTAAAAGATGTACGTGTAGTGAGTGTGATGAGCCTGTCAGATGATGAGTACGAGGATCCAGACTGCAGTCAAGATCCCGGTGTTGGGGCTCAACATGTAGATCGCTCTATTGCCACGAAAACGGGTGATTCATTCTTTACCAATCTCATGAAGAAGAGTTTTAAAATCAACAACGGAATGGGCAATGGCAGAGCAAAGGTATTCATTAATGGCTATCCCATCTCCGATCGTGCTGTCAAGAAGGCTGAGAAGATTGCCGGACCAATCTATCCTGGTGAATACTGGTAATTTACACCTTTATTCATCTAAGTCTCTGTTGATACTGCAGTTGTGATCCAAAATATAACCCTCTAGCATCATTGACATCTGACATTTTCCTTGTATCTTTGTTTAGGTATGATTACCGTGCAGGGTTCTGGGGTGTAATGGGCCAATCGTGCCTTGGCATGATACCTGTAAGAAGAGTTTTTTTTTATTTGGAGGGCGGTTAATATGTTTGTCTTACCCTGCCATATCTTCATTCAAGCTTTTAACTGGATTTCCATATTGCAGCCCTACATTCCGCAACTTAACTATCCTATGCCCAAGAACTGCGCCGGTGGAAATACTGGTATTTGTATCAATGGGAGAGAACTTCACCAGAAAGATTTCGACTTGCTCGTGGGTCGAGGTCTCTCAGAATCTCCTGACAGATCATATAAGGTTGAGATGTCTGGTAAAGTGTACGATGAAGTCTCTGGTGAAGAACTTTATTGTCTTGGCAAACTTGCACCAACGTAAGTAATTTATACCGACTTCAAATCTTTTCATTTCAGTTTACTGTTATAAGTTCTGATGAGCAATGCTGCAACCATTTTATGCTGTTATAGTAATATGTAGCATGCTCATGCTCCTTTAACAAGCCGATGTACAAGTACTTAAATCTTGCTATTATGACCATCTTAATACGGCTGTCAGGAAATCTTTTGTGTTGATAATTTGGTAATCTTTTAGTATGTGCTGTGTGTTGTTCGGCATGCAATATGGTAAGAAAAACCTCATGATTTTTATGTAAAGTACTGTTATCTTATAATCATACAGTTGATGATATATAGTTCTGGAACTGAGTAGTAGTTCAAGACAGATAGATTGTGGGTTTTTCGGATGCTTGCCTCCCATTTCATGCCCTCTCTTGTTATTACTCCCTCCGTTCGGAATTACTTGTCTCGGATATGGATGTATCTAGAACTAAAATACGTCTAGATACATCCATTTCTATGACAAGTAATTCCGAACGGAGGGAGTACATATGTTAACTACTGATTGTAACTTGGGAACATCGATTTAGATGCTATTAATTTTGTATGGGTCCTATGCCACATCAAGATCTTCTCATGTTACACTTATCACCGTGCGATTTTGTCCTGTTTAAGATGTCAAGTCACTGCCACATATTTTTCTACCGTGTTTAGAATACCTACCATGGGGCCCGTCATAATTAGGGACCCTAATTCAGAAAACCACCACTATTCGATTTTTTTGCAGATAATCACCACCATTGTGGTGACAGTTCTCAGAAAACACTGATCCCTTAGTAACCACATATTGACACAGTTTCTGACCGATGGGGCCCGCTGTAAGTGCTGACATGGCAAACAAAACATGACGCTGTTGAACTGGCCGTTAAACTAGAAGAAGGGGGCCACTAGTCAGCGTATCATGCGTTTCACGACACGACGTGGACGCTACTGCCGTCGAGCGATGGAGAGGAGGCGAGGCAGGTCAACGGCGAGCAGCGCCGCTCCAGCTTCACCTAGCCAGACCACCACCGGGTGCTCGCCTGAATCCAGGCCGCGCCTCCGGCCGCCGATTCATCTACCCAGACTAACGCCGGGATCTGGCAACGCCTCGAGGCGGCGAGGTAGAATAAAAAACGGCGGGGGCTGCGACGGCTAGCCTCGCCGGCGGCGACCGGCGGTCTGGCGTGGGATCCCTTCGGATCGGGGCGGCGGCGCAGAGCAAGGGAAGGGGAGGACGACGGCGAAGTGGAGCGGTGGGAATTTATTTTTACGGGGTGGAAGTTTTTTTCCCCAAGAGAGGAGAGAGATAACACTGACATGCAGGCCCTTGTTTATTTTGACGGTCAACTAAACTGGAGTCAAACGCCGTTAGTTTTAGTTGCCACATCATCTCTTACAGTGGTACCTATCTGTCAGTTTTACAGTCAGCAAGTATTTATCTGAGTGATCAGTGTTTTCTGAAAACTGTCACCACAATGGTGGTGGTTTTTTGCAAAAAAACCGAATGGTGATGGTTTCTTGAATTAGGGTCCTTAATTGTGGTGGTTTTTTACAATTTACTCTATTGATTTAGTACTGTCATGGTCTAGACTCTTTAGAATATCTGCATACTTGAGTCTGTGCTGACAGTTTGTTTACGCAAACAGTGTCGAGAAGATGAAGCGCGGTTTCGGTATGCGCCCCCCAAGGACCATCCGTTGAGAAAGAGGGGTCAAAAAATTGGCCTCAGGATCTGGGTAACTCACCGCGCCAGAACTGGGGATATCGTGGTCCTGGAGATCATTCGCCGAGTCGGTCGATAGACGATAGCCCACATTGTGGACTACATAAAATCATTTTGCAAGTTCTGGTTCTCCTATGTAGCTATGATGTGTGTGTGTGTGTGTGGTGTGTGTCTTTTGCTGACTGCAGTTATTCCGCCTGTCTAGCATCTATAGTAGATATGTAATCGATCTATGTGATTCTGAACTGACGGTTCTCTGAGAAAAGCTCAATGTGAAGTTATGTGTTGCGGCTTGCTTTACCTGCCGCTACTCGTCTCTTTTTGCCGCCACACTCCCGCCAGCCACCGGCGGTGGCTTCTTCCGCCGCCTCCAGCGTCCATCCTCTTCATCCGCCGACGCAGCCATCGGAATCCCTTGCTACCTACTCTCACACGGTTTTTTTTTTTGAGACAAAACTCTCACACGGCTGTCCTCTCTGTTAGAAACTTAGATGGGCTTTAGGCCCATATATCAACTACTCCATCTGTTTTTTCTAAATATAAGCCTTTTTAGAGATCTCAATGTGGACTAGATATGAATGTATACTTTTCACAAAAAAAATAAAATATGAATGCATATTTTTCGACAAAGGGATATATTAATACACAGAGATACCAATTACACCCAGCCTCTGCAACGATGAAATATCCTAGAGACATTGCGGATGCACACAACCCATAAACAAAAAAAAAAGAAGAAAAAACAAAAGATCTCGCTACAAATGATCAATTCCTAGTAACTGTAGCACAAACCACCACCAAGACAACACCCCGAAATTCAAATTCTCCAAAAGCGATGCATCCAAGACGGAAACAGTGCACAGTTGTCGTCGTCACCCGATCATATATCTTAGATTTTCACCCTCGAAAAAATGCGCGCTCTCAAAACAATGCCTTCAACAAGGTCACTGCTAGGCACAACCAATTAAGGCGAGACCTTGGGTTTTCACCCCGAAAGCTAAAGACTCTGAACTCATCCTATGCCGCCACCCCCTCTTTGTCGATGCCGCTGCTACGAGTCACGAATCACCAAGCAAATTCCTCATCGCCTCGAAGACTAGATCCGCCATTACTAGACCTCTGACCTCAGCCACCATGACGTTATTCGCCATTGTCTTCATCGTGGAAATCGAAATACCGACATGTTCCATAATGTCAGCAATTAACGAAGCTTTGAGTCAAGCCCTCCTGAAGCCACACGAGCTGAAATATGGACGCACATGATTGAATCCCATCCGATCCAGGAATATACAGGCGCCAAGCACCTAATGGAGATCTCCGGCGGAGCCTTCCGAAACTCGTGAAGGGCCAAATCAATGAGGGTCGGCATCAAGCAGAACACAGTCTTGGCGCTAGCAGAACCCTAGGACCGCCTCCATTGATTGTGCAAGCATGCGCGGCCCCTTTGCCAAGCCTTGTGGCCTTCAGATCTGGGCAGCAGCACACACAGAGAGACAAAGGAGCCTCAGCCAACATCGATTCAGTAGTGACCAGCGCACAACCAAGACCCACTGCCGCGTCCAGTGGCAGAGGACGAAAGTATTTTGAGGTGGGGCGAACTCTTAAGCCAAAAAAATAAAATTGTGCACGACCAACATAAAGAATACGATCAACAATGAACAATGCACACCAATATTTTCATATAATCCTAAACAGAATAGCCAACTAAAATGAAAATGCAAACATACTTTAAAAAGACAAACAACCTAAAACATACCCATGCAAGTTCTAATGGCGAGTGGAAGACCCGGGCAACGGTAGTGCCCTACCCTTCTTGTGAAAATCTTCCTTAATTTTACCAAGATCAAGACTTTTGAATATCCCTCGTTCAATGTAACACACCATCAAGTCATTAAGCCAGCCATCGGACATCTTGCTGCGCAACTCGGTCTTGATGATTTTCATTGCTAAAAAAGCCCTTTCAACTGTTGTTGTCGCCACCGGTAGTAGCAATGCGAGCTCAATGAGGCGATAAACCGTGGGAAACATGATGTGCCTTTCAAGTTCAACCATCTTTTTAGCTAGGCTTGCAATATCATGACAATCTCTAAAATCTTCAATTCTTCTCATATGAATAATGAATAGCTCAAGGTGATCTCGTATATGCTCACGGTCATAACTAGAGAAATCCTCATGATAAATCTCTGCGAGTCGAGCAAGCTTACTGATATTGAACCTAGAAAAGGAGTCTCTTGGGTCAAGACAAGAGAAGTTCTGGAGGAGCTCTGAAGATACCTCATTAAAACGATGATCAAACTCCGTGGTGATGGAGTCTATAGCAACATAGAAGGTGTCCACACGGAAGAAATGATCAGCAGTGACATTGTTTCTTCCACCTTTTCTTGATTTCCCCCATTTTGTGAAGGTGTCATCCATACTTGGTATTGGAATTTCATTTTTGGTGCAGAATGCTTTCACATCTTCCAAGAGTGGCTCCCAACCATCATTTCTCCAATTGATCAAACGTGTTCTCACATCTGTAACCAATGATCAAACGTGTTCATTTTTGGTGCAGAATGCTTTCACATCTTCCAAGAGTGGCTCCCGCGCTCGGTGCTGCTGGCCGTCGATCCCCTCGTCCTCGCGGCCTCGCTCCTGCTGCCGCCCAGGCGCGCCGCTAGGGTTGTCTTTTCTCTCGTGGACGACTAGATCGAGCCAGGGCGTGGAGGCTTGGACGACTGGATCGATCGATTGAGCGAGGCTGTACGTGCGCCTGTGGGCTGGTGAGGTTGGTTAGGCCGGCCCAATAAGGTGTCCATGTTATATCCCAGCCCAACAAAACGTTTGACGGTTATTATTAGCGATCAGATGAATCCATCGATGTATATACGTATACCTAGTAAAAAAATTCCAAAAAATCAAGGTAGGGCGAGCGCCCCACCTCGCCCTACCGTGTCCTCCGCCTGTGGCCGCGTCCCACCACCACTCGCCGAGCCCCGCCACCGCATGTCGCCTGAAGGCTGCAGCCGTCGTGGCCACGGAGCATCGCCGAATCCCGTCGGGAACCGCCGCCAACGCTCATGGGAGCCGCAAGAAGGAGCCCGCCACCACCGTCTGCCACACGGGCTTCGCCCGAAGGCTTCATCTGTCGGCGGCGTGGGGAGAGGAGCAGAAGAGGCCGGCGATGTTAGGTTGCGGGTGCCACCCCCGTGTCGCCCCAGGATAGGGCGGAGCAGGGGTTATGGACATTCTCTTTGGGCGCCACATATGAATGCATACAAACGTATTTTAAAAGGCAG